TGTGTGTGTGTGCGCGCGTGCGAGCGCGTGTGTGTGTGGAGGAGGAGGAGGAGTAGGAGAGAGACAGACATACTGACAGACAGACAGACATTAACTTTTCTATGTGTATGCTAAATTGAGAGTGCCTGCAGCGATTTAATCTGAGACCAAACGTAACACATAATATATCAATAGCGTTCGGCTCTAACCGTGTGACTAGAGGAAACAAACATATTTTTTTTTCTGAAACCGTCGCCGAAGTCGATGTGCGATATCGGATTTCCACTTTGATAAAAGTCATAGAGTGCGTGTGACCAGTAATGTTAAAAGAAAGCACACAGCAAAAAACACCCACTATTTAATGTGTGTTCCGTAATCCACCCCTCTCTCTCTCTCTCTCTCTCTCTCTCTCTCTCTCTCTCTCTCTCTCTCTCTCTCTCTCTCTCTCTCTCTCTCTCTCTCTCTCTCCCTCCCATGTCCACAGCTTGTAGGGTCCACCAAGATGTCCAAGGAAGGACAGTCCAGTGACGGACGTATGGGCGTGTGGCTGGACATGTGGGACAATGGAGGCATTTCCGAGTTCCAGGTCAACAAACCACACCCGTGAGTCTATTTATAGTAAGCACCTTGTTTGAGAGCGTGCGGTTGCGGAGCGGTTAGTGCCCTCGTCTCCGAAGCGGAAAGTAAGGGTTCGAGCTTCAGTTCGGACACGGATTGTTTTCACCCCCTCCTGCCCACCCAGCAGTAATGGGTACCTGACTTCGAGTTGGGAAAGTAAAGTAAAGGCAGCGTAGAAAGGAACTGGCCTCCCTACCACAATATGGCGAAGGCCCAGGAAGTTGTCTCACTAACAAGGCAATTCCCAATGTCCGGATCAGATGCGGGAACAACTTTAATTTTACGTTGTTTGAACTAAAAGTTCCCAAATCACGAGTTCAATAAGCATAATGTTACGATTAGAAAAAAATGACGGACTTGCTTTTAAAAGCGATATTATCGCCCCAGCTGTAAACCATTCAAAACCTGTAGAAACCACGCACTTGGATTTTCTATTAGTATTTAATAAGGAATATTCTAGAATACAGCTAGCAGGACCAGGTGTTTATAAAAATTAAATGTTGATGATATGTTAAGACAAATTGATACAAGTCATTGTGCGAAAGTTGGAGAACCTTAGTTCAATAGGAGGAGATATTTGAAAGTAAGTTGCGCTACGAAGTTTTGTCCGCACTATAGTTTAGTACATGTACGAGTTTTACCGCACTTGCAGCACAATTAGGTCAAGTAAGTGCAGAAGATTAGAGGTGTTTCTAGATAGTTACATACAAATAAAAAGAGGAGAGAAGAGGGCGATGGATGTTTGATTGATAGGAAAGAAGGAGCAAACGGCAATAGAACACCCGCCAACTACCCACACGTGAGTTATTTTTACAACAGTAACAACAGTGATGCCGAGATCGACCACAACGAAAATAACAACAATAACAGTGACAACAACATCCTCATCATCAGCCAGACTCTTCCGAGACGACCGTTATTATTGTGACGCAATCAATTTCGAATTTAACCACACGTATATACCTGTATTTACTTGTATTACCTGTCCTGGGCAATAACGTCATTGCACACCGGACAGGTCCATAAGTGCTCAGTCTCTCTCAGCACCAAAGCCCGCAAGGTATCCATACTGACTGTTCCAGTGACTGTTTGATTATGACGACGTCTTTCCTTTACAGATAATCGTTCCTTTCTTCCTTCTCCCCTCTCTATCACCATTTCCCGCATCCTGATGATTGCGTGGTGTTGTGCTCTCCCCCTGTCTTCCTCATCCTGCAACTTTTCCTCCAGGGTCTTCAATATACTTCTTCTTTGTCAAATTCCACCTCACCACCAACAACGGCACTGTCCGCCAGCCTGTCAGCCTCCTCATTACCCTTCACTCCCGAGTGCCCAGAACTTAACAAACCAATCCGCAAAAGTTCAGCATTTGATTCTGTATAGTATAGTATAGGGTTTTACGGCGCTCGCAACTGATTAAGGTTATATGAGCGCAGTGTTTGATTGTGAAAGATGTTTGAATTTTCCTATCCACCTTATAATAATTCTAAAAATTATTCCTCGTCGTCCTTATTCTGACTGGGAAGTTAGTTTCCATCCGTCGAAAGTACTAACTTTGTGTCCAAGAGGACGTTGAATTTCCATGAAATCGTAATCAGAATTCTTTTTGATTATGTAACACTCGTTGATAATTTCATGTTTATTCTTAAGATTTTAAGAGACCAGCATTTGGAAGAAAAGCAGTTGGAATCATGCAATATAGCTACTTTATATATGATGTTTGATTTTTTTAAATCAGGAAAATCCAAGAACATTACGAGTTTTACACTTCTGGGAACCCCGATGCAAAAATCTTTTTCCCGCTATGCGGAGACATGCATGATATGGTCGTGTGAGTATCTGTCTGTCTGTCTGTCTGTCTGTCTGTCTGTCTGTTTGTTTGTATAAGTTTACATCTATTAATCAGTTCAGTGAAATACATCTGATACCACCATAGTATTGTCTTTTATATCTTTTATTTTCTGTTTTAATTATTAACCGTATGCACATTTCGTTTACTTATTTGAGTCTCTATTTGAAAGATGGTCCCCCTAGTGCATAATTTAAAAGAAAGGGCCTACAACTCTTTAAACCTGCAGGGTTGTGATTTTGTTTTATGCAGTTGCATCCCTTGATAAGTTACGATTTTAGATACATTTTAGATGTTTTATTCACTCGTTCCACTTTAAAATGTGTCGTTTTTTAGCTGTCCTCCATTGTAAGTCAGCGCGATAACTACTCGATCAAGTCATGGTCAGAGTGAAATAATCAAGACACGACAGTTGCTCGAATTTGACCATCTTAACCACCAATCACTCGCACTCGCATATCGACAATATTTATTTTTGATCTTTAGGTTTAGCGAGGGTTTGATGACACTTGCAACACAATTAGGTCATACTTGTATAATATAAGCACCCAGATTGTTGTTTTTGTTTCAGATAGGCCTAATAACGTTTTTCTGAGTAGGCCCTATAATGGTGTCGTTCTTATTTCTAAATCATTCAGTTTT